TTGCAGATGAGAATACTACAACTTCGTTGATTGGTATCATAGCAACAGTCCACCAAGTTTATCTTGATGTTGGCGTCTGCGTACTAGCAGCACCATCCGCGTATTGTGCAAAATAAGTTGTCGCCCCTTTAACTCTCTCATCGCTCTATCAGATAAAAGTATACTGCCATCACCTAAGCTAGGCATGACAGGTTATTTTCCACTGTTTTCATGCTGCTAGGTGTGGCAACTACGCCAGCAGTTACTGACTGTTTCCAAGTGGCATGCCAACCTCGGTGCTAAGGAATTGAAGGGAAATATTTCAGAATTGCCTTAATTAAATGACAAGTATTAAATAGGATAGTCATGAAAGTGCCTAGCAGGACCTTGTAATAGTATTTATTATGCTCTCATGGTATCCTGCAGGATAGTATATGCTCGTTTACGTCCGTGTTTTTTCTCCCTCTCGTGTAATAGTGTTACAACGCACTAGCTTTGCAGAAAGCATCGGCATAATCAATCCTAGCCAATAAATAGGTTCTTTGGCTATCATGGTGTCTTGTATACGTTAGTTTATTGCTGTAGGTGGTAGATAGTGATGATAAGAATGTGTTCGATTGTCTACAGCAGTTGAAATTGTCTTTTTTTATCCGTAGTATCTGACCATGGATATGCCTTTAGGATAGTCTATCAAAGCTAATCAACATGTCCTTTGGCTATCATCGTGTCTTGCTAAGTCGTAGATATTATGTATGATAGACTAGTAACGTCTAGGAATTACCGCAGTCGTTATAGTTAAACTCGAAAAATATATTGTCTATATATATATATGTATGTATACATTGTATATATATATATATTCTCTCTATATATATGACAATGTTCTATATATACATATAGATATATATATCTTGTGGGAAAGCAACCCAGAATAAAAAGTGGTGCTAGTCATGATAAGAAGTGCTATCATGCATCCGATGCACTTTTGTGTTTTCTGTCCTTAAAATCGTGTTTGTTATCCGTAGTATGTAATCACGGATAAAGTTGAGGTTTTAGGATAGTCTATCAAAGCCAATAAACATGCCCTCTGGCTATCGTTGTATCTTTGCTAGATCGTAGAGTTAATCGACTACTGTAGCTGCTTCTATTTCTGTAAGTGCTATCATGCATCCGATGCACTTTTCTGTTTCTGTCGTTGAAATCATGTTTATTACCGTAGTATCTAACCACGGTTGAGATTTTACGATAGTCTATCAAAGCTAATAAACATGCCCTCTGGCTATCATTGTGTCTTGCTAGATTGTAGAGTTGATCTACTCCTGTAGTTGGCTATATTGAAGGATAGTATAGCCATCGTTGTATGCAAAGTCTACCGCTGTAGGTGCAAGTCATGATAAGAAGTGCTAACATGATACACTTTTATGTCTACTGTCGTTGAAATCGTGTTTGTTATTGGTAGTATCGAACCACGAATAAGATTTTACGATAGTCAATCTTAGCTAATAAACATGCCCTCTGGCTATCATTGTGTCTCGCTAGATTGTAGAGTTAATCTATTACTGTAGTTGACTAGTTGGCTAGATTGAAGAATAGTATAGCCATCGTGGTATGCAAAGTCTACCGCTGTAGGTACAAGTCATGACAAGAAGTGCTATCATGATGCACTTTTATGTCTACTGTCGTTGAAATCGTTCTTGTTATCCGTAGTATCGAACCACGAATAAAGTTTTAGGATAGTCTACCAAAGTTAATAAACATGCCCTCTGGCTATTCATTGTGTCTTGCTAGATTGTAGAGTTGATCTATTCCTGTAATTGGCTATATTGAAGAATAGTATAGCCATCGTGGTATGCAAAGTCTACCGCTATAAGGTGCAAGTCATGATCAGAAGTGCTATCATGATGCACTTTTATGTCTACTGTCGTTGAAATCATGTTTGTTATTGGTAGTATCGAATCACGAATAGTCGATGGAAGTAAATCAACACAAGGTTGGCGATCATCTTGTCTTGCTCATAAGACATAGAGGGTTAATCGACTATCGCAGCCTAATATAGAGTGATCGAGTTATGCCTAATGTCACCAGCAATCGACTCCACTGTGATTTATGTACAGGGTACACTATAATAACAGGATGCATATCATGAATTGTAATGAGTTGATTCTCCTCCCCGCCGGTTATTTACATAAAGTCAAAATAAAATCAACCCATTATCATCAGGTGGAATTCAGTTGAGTTTTCCAATTTTTTGCGCTATTGGAGAATGTACTAGCAGGCCTAGCGAATTGATTGANACTATTGCCAAA